TTTTATATAGAATATTTTTAGACAGTGACTATTTTATACATATATAATAGTTTTATAAAAAACAATCGTTTTAAATGAATATTTTTTAAATATCACTGTTCCTGCGTGGACAGCACTTTATATAGTAGAAGACGTAATTAATTATCAGAATGGCAAGTTGGTCAAATATAGACTTGGTACCAACCAAAATATATACACCTAGCAAGAGTAACCAAACTGTTAGAAATTAATGTTTTAAATGAGAAAAGCCCATTGAATAAAACCAAAGAGGCTTCAAATAGATATATTGACATTCAAGCAACTTTAACAAAGGGAAACTATATTAGTTTGACAGTTTTCGTCAGCAGCATTCCTGCAATTCAACACACGCTTCGACCAATATTTTAGTTCAACTATCGCTTGATGTTCAGAAATCTTATGTTATCTTATCATGTACAATGTATGGGAAAAGACAATAAAATGTCTTTAGGCTGCGAAGCAACACATCGTCAAATATCTTATAATTTAAACAAACAAACTTTAAATTATAATCACCTCGTCCCACTCAAGTTTGTGTAAACAAAACATTTCTAATACCCTAAAGAAAATCAAGATAATGAATATGGAAACAGTGTGTTGAAACAAAAAGAAATTACGTCAATCAGAACTAAAACTAAAGAAAAAAGAAGAAAGTCTGAAACTAATAGAGTTGACTAACTTTATAAATCTACAGATATATTTTTAATCCAGTAAGATCAATACAAGAAGAAACAAATATTTAGTAGATTTCATAAATGAAAATCGATTATATATTGAGGAAGATTTTAAAACTTGTAGTGGATCAGGAAACTGAACGTTTTACTTTTTACTTTTTAAACGTGATTTTCAGAAAAAAATGATTTTTATAGAAACGTTAGACTACGTGACTAATAATGTGTCCGATCATTATCCGGTAAAAGCGAAAGTGACATTTACCATCAATACCAAAGAAAAATCAAAATGTTCAAATGCAAAAGTATTACCGACGTCTGGTAGAGTGCCATGGAATACCTAAGATAAAGACGTAACTAAAACTTTAATTGAAGATGGTTTGAAAACTTTTTCATCATCTTTATAAAACAGATATGTAGTGGATCTTGCTTTTCCAAATATAAACAATCTACTCTTTAACTCTGCAAAAAGTTGTTGTCCAGCTCAACGAAATATATTTAGAAAACCGAAATTAAAGGTTATGGAAGAAGAATTTCTGACGCTTTTTACCAATGGAAGAGTATTGGCCGTCCTGGAGATCGTACAAATGAACTTTTTATCCAGAAAAAAGAAACAACTCATAATTTACGTAAACATTGTAGCAAGCTTACGGCGGTTGCTATGAATAGAATAGATGAAAGATAAAAGATAATGAAAGAAAATATTCAAAATAAAAAATCATTTTATAAACTGATTAAAAACAGAGGGGAAGATTAAGTAATCACATAGATGAATTATCTGTGGGTGATACCGTGTGTAGCACAGAAGACATTATTCTAATGGGATGGAAACACCATTTTGAAAACTCTATTCATCAAAATTTTGATAATAAACATCAACAAAAGGTTTAACAAGAATATATTGATATACTTGACATTTATAAAACTATGTTTCAGCAACAAGTATTACTTAAAACAAATAAATGAACAGACGTTAAGAATAGTAATTCCTTTTTTTAAGAATAAAGGTACCTGTAAAGATAGTAAAAATTACCATGGAATTAAAATTACTCCAACATTATCTAAACTCGTAAAAATTACCATGGAATTAAAATTACTCCAACATTATCTAAACTCATTGAAGCAGTTTTAAAGAATAATCCTCACATTTTACAATATCAATATCCATTACAACGTGGTTTTACTAGAAGTACAGCACCATTAAAATGTTTTTTCATTATAGAAAAAATTCATAAAGAATGCGTTGAGTTAAATGATCAAACAATAATTACTATGCTTGATGCAAAGTCAGAATTTATGCAGTAAACATGCAGGGCTAATAAGAAGATTACATCAAATGAAAATTCCAGAACAATCTATTTTAATTATTGATAAGTTATATAAACATGCTGTTTCTTGTGTAAGATGGAATAACCAAACATCAGATACTTTTAGAATAGATGAGACGTAAGTTAAGACGGGACTCTTAGTGCAGATTTGTATAAAATTTACATAAATACACCTTTAGACATTTTAACTGATTCAGGATATGGAGAGCAAATTGGATAAATCTCATGTTGTGCTATAACTTGCGTAGACGATTTAGCCATACTCAGCAACTGTCCGTATGAAACACAGATTTTAATTAATGTGGCCTTTGACTTTAATAAACGATAGGCAAATTTACTACAACAAGCAAACAGTTGTGTTATAAAGTCTAAAAGAGAGGCGAAAGATACCAGAGGGACATTCAAACTCATAAGTCGAAAATAAACTGAATACGCCATGGCTAAAAAAGAAAAAGACAAACAGACAAACAATAGTACACAAAACACAACATATAGAAAACTAAAGACTGAGCAACACGAACTAAATCTCGTCTGCATGAAAAAGTTAATAAAACATTTTGGACTCTAGTTAACACTGTTATTCCAATTTCTGATAAAGCAACACATTTTGTAATGTGTTGTACAGACAATGATTCATGTAAAGCAAGAATAGACGAGAATTTAAAGAAATCAAGAAGAACACTTTATAGTTTAATGGGGGTTGGACTTTAAGGACAACATGGATTAGATCCACAAACTTCAATGTCAAATATGAATACTTATATAATACCTATAATGTTATATGGATTGGAAATAGTAATCCCAACGGGAATATGTTTAGAAATTTAAATATTCAGTTTAAAATTGTTTTGAAACAGTCATTATCTTTACCAAAAACAGTGGCTGATCCAGCAATAAACATAATTTCTGGGATGTTACCCGTGGAAGCTCACATAGATGTTAAAATTCCAACGTTTTATGGAAATATTACTGGACAAGAAAAAAGTTCTATTGACTGGCAACTAGCAGGAAGGCAACTACATGTAAAATCTATAAATAGTAATAGTTGGTTCAGCTAATTGAGACAAACATTTTTGAAATATGAATTGAATGACACAAAGCAATTTTTAGTCAATCCAATTTCTAAATACCAATGGAAGAATGAATAACTTCCAAAATTCATTAATTTAGTTTTGGACTCATAACATATTAGATCAAGCAAAAGTTTATACCAGTTTAAAGTACTTGTTTATGATAAACATACCAGGACGTTGTCATCATATTACTAATACAAACATTATGAGTACGAGAGAAATTATTAGAATTCCTACAAAGCTTAAAATAGTTACTGGAAGTTACATTCTTTAAGTTGTTAGAGCCAAATTTTAAAATAACTGTGAACAGTTTTTATGTCAATTGCGAAACGAAGCAGAAGAAACTTTGTTACATCTTTTTTTATTAATATGTAAAAGTCTAGAAGATATTAGAAAACCGATTTTGGAAGATTTAATTAACTCTTGTAGTAAAGAGTTGGCTATCTTTAATATGAAAGATGAACAATTTGACATTTGAAAACTGATTATAGATCCATTTGATCCTATTGATAGGAATTTCATATATGACGTCTTTTTTGTCGAGCTTGCGAAAGCAAGGCGTCGGCGGCGTCAACATTTAGGTTCAATCTGTGGTTAAAGTTTTTTAAGACATCAATAACTTTGTCAAACCTTCATGTATTTTTAAGAAATTTTGGACAGAAGCTTGTTTATGATCAAAATACATTATCCAGAGCAAAATTTAGAAAATATTTATTTTCATTTTTCCGTATTTTACTGATAATTGGACATAGTTTTTTTTTACAGTTAACATTCAGATTTAGTCTGAGGTTACAGTTTTTCAGTCATCAATAACTTTCCTCGTTTTAGGTATAGTTAAATTAAAGCATGATAATTTATACCAAAAAACAGAAATATACAAAGTCGGCTTATTACTGATCTTTGTAAAGATTCAAAAATCTGCCTGATTGATCTGAGGCAAGTTTCCCCAGATAACTCATTTCGTTTGCTATAAAATCGCATGTTAAATAAGCTCTAGAGTTATGATGTAAACAAACAGAATACTATCAAAATGTTCGTCCTCGTTATTCTTTTTGTAATCAGTTATACACAATTTGCGGGTATTCGTATGACTTACAACATTACAGCGTCTGTCAACAGAACAGAAACAGGTTAATGTGCAAGCTCAATTGTTAGAAAAAAGTTAGAAAAAAAATAACAATTTTGAGTTTATTATGATTTTTTATATTGATTATTCGTTTAACTGATTTTCTTATTGTTATTGGGGACTTTGTCCCCATATTACTTTAAGACCATTGTAGTATAACCAAGGGTGGTATCCTGTTATTCGTCTTATCTGTAATACGTTACAAAGGTTCTGCTGATAATGCATATTCATAGAAGATGATATTTACCCTGTCTAGCTACCCACATGATATCACTTATGTGTTTTTGATTTGGACTGATTTAACTATCGTAGTTGTATGTTTGAATCTAACCTTGAATATGTCAAATACAGTGAAAGTAAAACCGTCTCGATGGTCTCGTGGTAGATTGTTCGCCTCGAGTGCCGGTCGGTTAAAACCAACGACTTAAAATTTTGTATTTGCTACTTCTCCGCCAAGCCAGAATAATGAGTCCGGGTAGGGTGACGTGTCTTCCTACGGACTTTTACCTTGTGAACTAGCACGTTAAAAATCAGCGTGTCGGTCTAGTACAAAGCAAGGTTAATATTCATATTACATTAACATATTCTCGTCCTGAATATGCATTTAATTTGCTGCTGGACCTTATGCAGCCATCCATCATCATCATACAGTGGTAGTTCACCCTCTGTTTTCCATTGAATTATTCGCTTATTTCTCATTTTATTTTTTCAAAAATAAGGGCAATTTACTGTGCATGTTACTTTTTAGTTTTTAAAATCTGAAAACAATAATATAAAAACTTACCAATTGTAATACTAGAGCTGTATTTACAATCATTAATCCTATCATAACATTTACAACGGTATGATCCACGATCAGCAAAGTTAAACGATTTAATTGTCATTATTGTTGTTCCTCTGTTTTTATACTTGTCCTCCTCGCTTTTGGTAAGATCTTCAAATTGACCTTGTGATGACTCACGTTGCCATTGGCAGGATGGAAAGTTATGTGGATTCGAACTTGTAAGTGTTATATCTCCATCGGACTTTTTATCTGCAATATATGACTCATTTCAGAACTGTGTAATAACATTCATTTGTATAAAATAGAAAATGTGAATACACATTATGCTTTCTAATTCTTTTACTATTTTATTGGTACTTGTCGTTTTGTCCCGCCAATGTGGCCATAGCTGTATGATTTTCAAATTCACCGGCTTCTTTATAAAGATTGATTTAGAAAATAGTAAATTTGGCTGCACAGTATGCTTTCTAATCCTTTTACTATTTTCATTGGTATTTGTCATTTTGTCCCTCCAATGTAGCCATAGCTGTATGCTTTTGATTTTTGATTTATAATATCACTACAAGTCTATAAAGATTGGTACAGAAAATGAATGAAGTACAGTATCCGTGCTTTCTCCTTTTTAAGCATTTGAACATATTTTTCTTCTTCTCAATAAATATGATTTCATTAATTGATAAAATTCAGGACTGGATATAACGTGTTGTTTAATTGTGTTTTCCATATTTTACATCATATGTTACTTTACACTTACAAATTGACAATGAATGAGGATATAATTTATACCTAACTTAGGTATCTGACGTATCTCACATACACAAAATGCATTTGTAATTATTCTAGCAAAAGGAATTAATCCAATTTAAAACATGCTCAATCGCCCATTATAAATGCATTTACCGTTGTATTATACTTATGTACATAATGTATCAATTAGGTTGCTTGTATATTTTTTCTCTTATAAAATTCTTGTCGATTTTAACTGGGGAAATACTTACTCTTCCTAAACACGTGAACTCATCTTTAGTAAGGCTCATTGTATCGTGATTTGGTGTTTGTCCGTTTATATTTCATTTTCTAAATGTCTATCCTACATCCAAAAAAGAGATGCTCGTATTTTCCTTACAAATTGTTACATTCTTTCAATTTGTTTCCTTTGGGAGCCGTATTTGAACATAAAAAATGCCATTTAAGAACTGTTTTGTTGTATTATTGAATATAATCCCATATGAATAGGAGTAACTATTAATATTATAAATGTTTACTAATTATTTGGATACTGTAAATCTAGGAGAGAATTATTGAGTAATTTTTTTTTCTTTCATTTTCCTTTGCTTTGATCAAACAACATGGAACATTTTACCCCACCCCCTTTTTTCCGTGAAATATATATCCAAGTGGGCCTCTTGTAATACAGCTTTATTAAGACAAGAACGAAATACCTTTCTCTTTTTTGACTACACATGTGTTCATACAAGCCTACTATATCATGGTTTTTAGGCTGTATTTCACACAAGATGACGTCCAAATGCGATTACACTACGACCCCCCTCTGAATACGACCGGTTTCGTGCATCCAAAATTTTACTCATATTTGAAAAAAGTTTATTTATTATGCCCCCGCAACTGAAAGTTGGGGGCATATTGTTTTACCCCTGTCCGTCCGGACGTCCGTCCGTTCGTCCGTCCTTCCGTCCTTCCGTCTGTCCGTCCGTCCGTCCCATTATGGGTATATAGTTATTCCAGGTAACTCCTCCTACAGTTCAAATGCTAGGAAGTTTTCACTTTGCTGGCTGTTTGTACATTTATTGAAGGTGCGCATGTGGCATTTTTATTGATATTTGCTCTTTTGGGAGGTAGTTGAACTTTGTCATTTTTGGAGTATATACTTGCATAAGAGGTGCATAGCGTTTCCAGATAACTCCTCCTACAGTTTGAATGCTAGGAAGTTTTCACTTTGCTGGCTGTTTGTTCATTTATTGAAGGGGTGCATGTGGTCAGATTTTTGATTTTTATTAATATTTGCTCTTTTGGGAGATAGTTGAACTTTGGTTTTTTTTTTTTTTTTTGAGTATTTACTTGCATAAGAGGTGCATAGCGTTTCCAGATAACTCCTCCTACAGGATGAATGCTAGAAAGTTTTCACTTTGCTGGCTGTTTATACATATATTGAAGGTGGTCAGGGTTTTGATTTTTATCAATATTTGCCCTTTTGGGAGATAGTTGAACTTTGTCATTTTTGGGAGTATTTACTTGCATAAGAGGCGCATAGCGATTCCGGATAACTCCTCCTACAGTGAACCATAGACCTATGTGCTTCCGTGTTCAACTTTGTGTTTTTTTAAATGTGGGGGCATCATTTGTGTCTCCCAGACACAATAATATCTCAAAGAAAGTCCTACATCGACTTTGTTACAGTTACTTCAGAGTGGAGTGCGGGGCATCACTTTGTCTAGTTTTACATGATTCTTAATGAAACATTTACGTGTTAAGCTCGAAACATATTAAATGTATGTTTATATCATCATAAAGATCATCAAAAATGCTACAAAACAGGCCGTCAGAATTTTGATATATGGTCCAGTTAAAACATAAATCGATTCTGATCATTTAAGATCACGGAAACGATAACAAAATTTTAATTATGCAATTTTTCCGTAAACATGATTTAAGCAGCAGCTCGTTGATTCTTTTCTTTTAGTATATCACCTGTGTTTATAACTTATTAGATGACAATGATACAGTATAGGTATATCGAAACTTAACAACTAAATTTTCAAAAATATATTGTGCTATCCTAATCAATAGAACATACCTACTGTAACCTCTTCACCTTTTACAAAAGAAAACAGTAGACAATATATATATAAATCCATGATTTTCCAAACGTTATGAATTTTAGTTGTTTCATTTAATTAAACCATTATTTTAAGTAATATCCCGTCAAGTACAGCTTTCCGGGGAAAATTATGTGCTTGCTTAAACTTCCCTCTTGTATGTACACATATAATAATTGTAGAATCTTTGATGTGGATTAAATGTGTCATAATCTGCGACGTATAATTGTCATCTACAAAATGTTTATATTCGAGCATTTCTGATTTAAAATGCACAGTCGTGTGTTTTCAAAATGCAAACACACTGGCTACTTTTTCAAGTTGCAACGTTAGGAAACTACAATTATTCATACCAAATTTTATTTCTGTGACGAATGTTTCACTTTATTAGAAAAACAAAGGATATGGGGTATCCATCCATGATAAAAATCATTACATGCACAGAAAAAAAGACATAAAAAGCAAAGGGACATCACTTTTATTGCATATCTTCATCTCAAAGTCACAGTGTTAACCACATTTTTGTTTTGGCAGTTAATTACCAGCTAATTCATACATTTGGACACTTATAGCGATTCTTCTTGTGTTATTATTGATCTGCTTAAACCAGTTTAATAGCTTCTAAAAAAATTGATATATATTTCGTTTTGTTGAATTACACTACTTTTTTAAACAATTTTAATTGATATACATTTACATTTTATGGCACATTTTGACGTTTTTCTTTCCACTGAATTCCTCAAGATCCCTTCTCAGAACTCGTTCAACCCTTTTGCTCTGTGAAGCACAATCATGTGTAAATGTTTTATTTTTACTTTTCAATGGAAAAACTTGTTCATTTCATTCATTGACAACATGCCAATTATTTTCATAATTCATAAGTATCATATAAACATATTTATAATCCTAGTACATTTTTGCAATTCAGGTTAAATTTAGAAAACTATTTTTGTGGTTATTTCATTTGAATTCCATTTCCTTTTATAACACGGCTGTTATTGGCTACAAGAGAATGACACTACGGTTTAACAGTAAGAGGTCGAGAGTGTTTCCCCACTTGAAAACATTGTTATATATATAAATAAATTGACAACCGTAAAAGATGAAAACCTCAAAACTAATTTTAGTATAGGTTTTCCTACTTATGAATTTATGCTTTAATGCCAAGGAAGATCCAGAGTTCGAGGAAAGGAGGGGCGTTATTGTCTTGAATGTTAACAATTTCATTTTTTTAAACAATTTTATGCAACAATCGGGATTAGGAGGGGCTGTATCCCTCACATGAATCCGACAGGTCATATTTTCTCTCTGACTGTTAATGACGTCTTTACACTAAATCCATTTGATGTTGGATGTGTAACGATTGATATTTTAGTCTTAGATGCATGATTTTTTTTATTAGTTGTTATTGGCTTTGAACTAGCTGTCAGTAACTGCGAGTACTCTCAGATCTGTACTTAGTGTCTTTTTGTTGTTCGATGTATAAGTACCCTGCCACGTTCACTCTGTGTTTTTAATTTGTTATGTGCATTTCTGTTTGTATCCATCTGATGAGTTAATTAGCCTTTTTCAACTGATCTTTATAGTTTGTTCTTATGTTGTACTGTTACGCCACTGTACCAGGACGCCCGTTACCATGTTTAACCCAGCCACATTATGTATGTGCCTGACCCAAGTAAGGAGCCTGTAATTCAGTGGTTGTCGTTTGTTTCTGTGTATCATATTTGTTTTTCGTTCATTATTTTGTACATAAATTAGGCCGTTAGTTTTCTCGTTTGGATTGTTTTACAATTGTCATTTCGGGGCCTCTTGTAGCTGACTGTGTTGTATGGGTTTTGCTCATTGTTGAAGGCCGTACGGTGACCTATAGTTGTTAACACGCTTTATGGTTCATTCAGGGGAAAAGTGCATGTGTATTGACAGAAATATAATGATTGATTAAATAAGTCATGAAAAATAACCAATTGTATTTGCTCATTGAATAGCTGAATAAAATCATTTAAGACAACAGAGAAGATAATTCTGTATTGTTTATTACTCAGACTTAAATTAAGAGGGAGCTATTTATACTGTAAAATTTATGATGTCTCTGTACGGGTCAATGGGTCAAATTTGTCATACTTAATTAAACGATAAATTGTTGAAATTAGATAATATGTTTTCACGTGTAGAGAAATTTCACTAATGACCAGTGCATGATTGGATTACATCTTTCTTATTGGTCAACGATCTTGCGGGGTCAACACGAGTTCACGTGTATGTGCTTTGTGGGCACTTCCTTTTATCATCAGCTTTTGACTTGTTAACTTATAATTCTTATCAAACAATTTGTGAAAAATTAAAATTTTATGGATAACTTTGGACTGGAATGATTCCCTTTTTGCAATTTGAGGTAAAATCGAACCATATTTTTGTGTTTTAACTATTTTATGCTTACATTATTGAAAAACGTCAAAGGTTTTTGTCATATTCGTTTTTCGTTTTCAATCAGATGGTTGGTTTTTTAGTTTGAATTGTTTAACATTGTTCATACTGGGGCCTTCCTAGCCTACTATACGCAAGTTGTTTTTTGCATTGTTGAAGGCTGTAAGGTGACCTTTTGTTGTCTCACTGGCAATCATACCACATCTCCTTATTTTTAAAATACATTGTAATTAGAAAAGAAATTGAAGTCACACAACTTATTTCTTGGCTTCTACTGAGGATTCAGTCATGTCCAATATTGCGATCTACAGACGCCATCACGAGTTGGTTGACCGTTATGCATTATCTGTTTCACAGATGACGACAGATATTTTCCAATTGTCGTAACTACAACCCAGCCCGTTTTTCCGCAAATATGATCTAACGAGTTAGACTTATCACCGGATTTGTACTTACATAAGCAACACGACGGATGCCACATTTAGAACAGAATCTGCAATACCCTTCCGGAGCACTCCCAGTTTTTGGTTGGGTTCGTGATACTCAGTCTTTAGTTTTCTGAGTTGTGTTTTGTGTACTGTTGTTTGTCTGTTGGTCTTTTTTTAGCCATGGCGTTGTCAGTTTATTTTTGACTTATGAATTTGATTCACCAATTTGTTTGAATCTGATCTTATATGATTTGGATTACAAGTCTTCTTGCCAACAGTCGGTGGTTCTCTATGGGTAGTCCTGGTGAGACTAGTAAAAATTACCTTCAGTACTGAATTATGAATACATATAAAAATAGCACACAATGGTACGAATGGTAAACATTATTATCTTCCATATGGTACGAAATGGTATACATTATAATCTCCCATATGGTAAGAAATGGTATACATTATAATCTTCCATATGGTACGAAATGGTATACATTATAATCTTCCATATGGTACGAAATGGTTATGGTACGAAATGGTTTTTGTTATGGTACGAAATGGGTTGTACGAAAGGTTATGGTACGAAAAGACTATGATTCGGTAATTCAACAAATAAAACCTGACTGTCTCGTTTTAGCCAAGAGGACCGAAAGTGTTTTTTTAAATCAAGAACAAATCAATTAATCATCCAGTAATGCCATGAATACAATTGTTTCAAATTACTTGACTGTATAGTTTCATATGCAAGTATGGAATATTTTTCAAAATAATTGGTGTTACATGGTACTGTGTGTTGACGAAATTTAATTTTTTGGGGAATTCTTTTATCTCAGTTGAATCAAATCCATGTCAAATTCTTTCATTAAATTTCTGTTTATATAAACAAATCATTGTAGGAGAGAATCAGCCAATATACATAAATTTGCGTTCAAATTTTAAAAATATGTTGGCGTTTATATGTAAAGCCACATTGAGTCACAGTGATAATACGTTTCTTCCAGTTATTCGCATCGATCACCGCATGAACATTTTGAAAAAAGATTAATAAAGATACAAATGTCAATTTTAGTGAAATTTTTACATTAACATGTTATAGTTAATATCAGACTGACTTTTTTAATTTACTTAAAAATGTAAATTGTGCCTAAATATAAATAAGAAGATGTGGTTTGAGTGCCAATGAGACAACTCTCCATCCAAGTCACAATGTATAAAAAGTAAACAAATATAGGTCAAAGTACGGCCTTCAACACGGAGCCTAGGCTCACACCGAACAGTAAGCTATGAAGGGCCCCAAAATGACTAGTGTAAAACAATTCAAACAGGAAAACCAACGGTCTAATCTATATAAAAAAAACGAGATACTTATGAACCACACCAACAATCGACAACCACTGAACAACAGGCTCCTGACTTAGGACCGGTGCATACAAATGATAAATGACAGATTTCAAGGGTGTAATTTGTCATACCCATAGTTATTATTTTTTTTCTTTCATTATTTTCCATTTTTTTCTTTCGATCCCTTTTTTTTTTTTTTTTTTTGTTGTTGAATAAAGCGTCATTATACAGTACATACTTTGATTATTGTAATAACTTACGATTGTTTTACCTTGCACAACTAAATAAAAATCCACAAATTCCCATCTTTTAAAACAATATGCACATCTGTATAAACCATCTTCATTCAAATCAACCTCCATCTTCATTCAAATCAACCTCCATCTTCATTCAAATCAACTTCCATCTTCATTCAAATCAACCTTCAATAGTACTTTTTGACGTAATGTTAGAGTATCTTCTGTTTTCATTGATTAACGTATAATTATATCTTTCCTTTCCATTCCATCGATAGTACGATCCAATATGTCCTCAGTGTAAACGATGAACTGTATGTACAGCTGCTGTATCTAGATAATAAACTATTATAAATAAATACAATTTTAGAATACTGTCTAATTGACGTATATATACGCCTAAAAGAGTGTACAAAACAACACCAATATTAAAAAAGAAATCAGTAATTACAAGTTTCTATAAATATTTCGAATAACAAATATCCTACATCAGTATGATAATGATGATGTATAACTAAAACAAGCTTAACTGTAAATATAAAAATAAGGAGATGAGGTATGATTGCCAATGAGACAACTATCCACCAAAGTTCAAATAAAGTGGATGTAAGCAATTATAGGCAACGTACGGCCTTCAACAATGAGAAAAACCCATACCGTATAGTCGGCTATAAAAAGATTGTTTTAGTTAAATCAGAATAGATTGATTTGATTAATGTTACA